GTTATATAGCTAGTATAGCTTAATAGTTAGTAAAGTATTACTATAAGCGTTAGAGATAATAAAAGGCGTTTTATAATAAGTATCTACTTATAGAAGCTACTAGTTAGATAGTTTATTAGAGACTATAAGTATAAGTAGTATATAGATAAAGATCTAATTAGTATATAACTAGCTCTAAAAGTAAGTATTAGTAATATTTTTAAAAGTAGAGACTTTCTTAGTAAAGTTATAGTTAGCTTTCTTTTATTCTTTAGAGTAAGCTAACTAGATAAAAAAATAGCTTAGTTTACTATTTACTTTAAAAAAGGCACGTTATAAACTAAGAATAAACTAGATATCTTTTTTAAGTAGTACTACGTTTACTTAGTATTAGTTATAAAATAAAGTAGATACTTTAAAAGTTTTAATAATACTATATATAACTTATAAAACTTTAGTAGTAATAAAAAAGTAAAAAGAATAGCTATTTAAGTAAGTAACTAAGTTATATATATAAATAATAGTATCTTTACTAAAAGCTAGTAGCTAGATAGAACTTAGCTAGTTAAGGTTAAGTATAGTTTAGTTACTACTTATAAAAGCGTTATTAGTTCTATATATTAGTATAGTAGAAGTACCTTAGAAAAAGTAAGTAAAAAAGAAAGATATTATAGATAGATAATTAGTAGACTAAGATATCTAGAAGAAACTATATATAGTATAGTATATTATATAAAATTAAAGTAGTACTATTAATTAAAAGTGTATTATAAAAAAGAATAGCTAGTAAAAAAGTAGAAAAAAAGCCTTTATACTAGTAGTATACATAATAAAAGTACCTTCTACTAGTAGTAACGTATAAGTACTAGGCTAGCGTTTAGAGAAAGATTAAAGTTACTAGTAATTACTTTTTAGAAGAAGCTACTTACTAAAATAGTAGTTTAAGTAATTAAAAGTATAGCGTTTAAAGAATTTAAGTCTAACTTAGATAGTAATAAAAGTTATTATTTATAATTTATTAGAAAAGTAAAGTTAAGTATAGAAAACCTAAACTATAATAATTCTAATATATTACGCTTAGAGCGTTAAGTATTCTTTAAAAGCTTCTTTAGAATTAATATTTTTCTAGTATAGTTATTAAAATAGTATATAAGCTAAATTAACTTTAGTATAGTAGTTAGCGTTTAAAAACACTTATTTACTAGCTAGAAGTAATAAAGTGTTTAAGTACACTACGTTGTATAGCTAATACTAAAGTATTATATAATTTTTATATTACTTAACCTAAGTCTACTATTACTATAAGAATATTATATAAGTAATAAACTTTAGTGTAAAACTTAGAAGTAGTTATTATTATATATTATAGGCGTAAGAAGTAGATATAATACTAGGTTTAAAGGTCTTATAAAAAGATAATAAAGATAGTAGAATTATTACTTTAAGTAGCTACTAGCTATTAAGTATATAAGTATATTTATATAAAGTGTATATTTACTAAAAAGCTATCTAGGTAGAAGAAGACTCTAAGTACACCTTCCTTCCATAATCACGTGACATCATCTAGCACTTCGGTCTCCTTTTCCGGTTCCTTGTACCAGACTTCACTTGGGTTTGCCAAGATACTCTTCTGCAGCGCATCGCTGAACATCTGCATCACACTAGACGCGCTCGCATCTTTGACACGAGTCTTTCCCATGGTTGTGTAGTGCCTAACGAAGTTCCCGTTGCAATCCGATATATCCTTGTTGGCGGTACCAGGACGAGATAGCATATCCTGGCGGAAACCGGGCCACCCTACGGCATCGTCGCAGGGTATGCTAACGATCGTTTCTGGCGTCTTGTTGAAGTCGTAGCGGATGTATTCTGAAAAGGCGCGTTGCTCGTGGCTCCATTCGTATCTCCATTTCGCGCAGCCTTTGTAGCGTGTTTCGGATGTACAATCGCGCCACGCATCCAGTAGTTCCAAAGTCGTGGACGAGTTCTGCGCAACCACAAGGCCGGTATTGAGGACGCGCATGCCCTTGCTGTCTAGGCTAATCGACCCTTCATCGCGGATTTCTTCGGTATCCCATGGAAGAGCTATGGATGTGTGCTGTTTGATGCCCCAGCGATTGAACATCCACTCGAAGGGGACGTCCGGATGCGCTATCGTAACGTCGGCATCCATTACAATCACGAATTGATATTCAGGTATCAGTTCGCGCAGAACGTGGGGTAATATCCACGTGTTGTAGTGGTCCTTCATGTCGCGCGCTTGATAGAACTTGTAGTCGTAGCCGTGGACCATGGCGTACAGATAATGGTTCAAGATGGAGTTGGAAACCAGGCCGGCGCCTTCGGTCTTGAGATTCTCCCAGTCTAAGCGTTCTGGGTTGAGAAGCTCATTCTCGCCAGTCGGCACACGCGTGTCGATGTCCACTATCAAGACTTTTTTGCCTAGAGGCTTCGTCCAAATCGTCTCACTTCCACCCTCATAGTATGTACCGGACGGATCGACATACCTGGTCGCGCTCGGATCGTGTTTTATGGACGCAAACAAACTGGCAACCGTGTCTCGGAGGGTTGGGTTCGATGATCTACACTGAGTGTCAGTGAAAGAGGCTTTACAGAAGGACCTGGATTGACATACGGACGCGTGATCCTCGCCACGACAAATACACCTTGGTCGCGGAATGCATAGAAAGAGAGTGTTGCCACTAATACGAAAGTGGCAATGGCCACAATATAGGTACGGTGCGCAGCGAGCATGATCAAAGGAGTGACAACCGGGGAGACAAGAATGATTGCCTGGCCGCGAAACTTACAAGACAACGAGTGTGCAGAGGAATTGGATGACGCAGGATAGCATTAGCCCCACGGGGAGCGAGTTGACTATCATCAAGTCGTACCATTACGCCGAGCTCTCCAGCAATGCGCGTCGCTGGTTCCAACCCTGTCATTTGGCGGAAAGATACACGGTCAATCCATGTGCTACTAGCTAGGCAAGCTCAAAGCATAAGAGATCTGATGGACACCGCCGGCCCGTACGGTAAACTGTTGCGTTTCAGTTCCCTTATGGCAGATTTGGCGAGCGGTTTCCCAAGACCTGCAGGTAGCATCAAACTTGTCGACTCTACGACCGCATTGACATATCATTATAGGAATTAAACGCATCGTTCACTCGCTTTGGGATTGTACGGCAGATTCCCAAGGAGGTCCGTGGTATGACCGTTTACTGATCGCGATCACGGACACACCAATCGTTGAGTTCTCGGCCCCATACGGTTACGTGTAACGGCTTCGCGATTGTGGCTGACGACAAGTCTCATGGAAGCTACTAGCGTCGTCGACAGCGTTCTCATCTGATTTCATTAAAGTGTGCAACTGACTGCAGCTAGAAGCAGGTATGATGCGCTCAACCCCCACATGAACTCGGGCAAATACACATGATGGTGCTTTGGTCAGTATGAAACAAAGGCTTTTTGTCACAACTTCATCGCGTTACCATCATTTGAACACGCCCGACACACGGATGTCAAAACAGCGTTTCGACCATAAATCATGGCGGACTGTTGAACGTAGTATGATTACTTCGGTAGGAACGTGACGGAGAAGAGGCCGCGCCGCGGATGCGCAGTAGCGCCGATTGATAGATATATCCCGACGCTCCCGGCGCCTTATTTCTTAGTCAAACTCGACTTTATTAATCATATACACGATGTGCCACGCGTGCGCAGAAGACAGTCTTTGAAAAGGCTCGGTGTACGCATCCCACATCGGTGTTGCAAGTTGTAGTACACCCAGACTAGCGAGGTGATGCTGAACTGAACGAACCGAAGCTTAACCGTACAACAATTGCTATCTTGCGCGATGTTACAGACTGCTTTGACATAAACAACTACGTAAGGGTGCACGTAAGAATGATGGCATGTCAGCACTAGTGCGCAATGTTCAATCCCATTCGCAAGAGACGGCAATTCATCATTTTGCATCTACGACGATCACAATTGCGTACACCGAGATAGTTCTGTCGCATTGCGTATACACGTGCGTGTCATGGCATTCTTGTTCTCCCATTTTTCAATGTTCAGACTTCATCGTCTTGCTGTAAACACTACTGCATGTAGTACTCATGAAGGTGAACTGTCACAAGGTCACGATGACCACAAGTCCTTTTGGAATACTCGCCCCTAAACCTCTCGTTCGTCCGAAAACTCCCGGTCCAATTTACCGAAAGTGTTGTCTGAACAGAGTCTAGCATGACATCGTACGTTCTTGTTTGAGACGCATGTTGAAGAAGGTAGGCGAGATGACAGCGGGAGAAGCGCCAAGCATCTCGTGATCGAGGCAATTACATAATCACGTTCAAGCTTCCGATCTCCGCCCGCACTCGCTTTCGTTCTCGAGAGCGCGATCCAACCGCGCCACCCCAGCCCGCATTCATCCATCCACTCACGTACGGACGGGACGTGCATCTGAGCTCGCACGAATGCCTAGGTTTGGCTCCAAGAAGACGCGTTCGGGATGCGCACAGTGCAAAGCCAGACGCGTCAAGGTAGCTTCCCCTTCCAAGTCTGTCGCGTCAGCGTATACTTACCCACATTCAGTGCGATGAGAGTAGACCATGTGGCGCTTGCACTAAGTATCACGTCGAGTGCAGCCTTCTGGGGGTTGCAAGCCAAAGTCCAAGCCGTGTAGACACAACATCTCCACGTAACGATCCTACCCCAATGAACGCGTCAACACCCACGAATGGAAATGGAACAACGCCACTGGACACGGGCCTAATCCAAGAGGGGAGCGCATCTCCATTATTAGCAGGTGTCTCAGAAGAAGGCTGGATGCAGGACTTGGAACTGACGCACCATTATACCGCACATGCATATCAAACTATGCCGGGCACCGAGCACGTGAAGCAAATCTGGGGGCTCGCTGTTCCACAACAAGCCTTCAAGTATCCTTTCCTCTTACACAGCATACTAGCCTTTTCCGCGAATCATCTCGCTTACATCAACACCTCCAGGGCCACACACTTTCGTATGGCCGCCTCGACACATCAAAGCGCAGCACTCACGGGTCTAAATCAAGCCGTTGCCAACATTGGGCCTTCGAACTGCCATGCTATCTTCGCTGCAGCATCAATGACTGTTATCAACGCATTTGCTGACGCGCATGCGTACAACTTAGACGTTCTGGTAGAGATTTTGCAGCTAGCACGCGGCATGGATTATGTACTCACCAGTGTGACCGACATGCTGAGAAAAGGTCCCTTCGCAGCCATTGTCCGGCCTGCTGAAGAAATGCCTAAGCCACCGTCCTTATTATCTGCCCTCCTCGTGGAGATCCAAGCGCTGAGCTGTCCTACTTCTGCCAACCCATCGCCGGACGACATCAATGCTGCTAGGGCGGCTGAAGTACTCCGGAATGGTCTTCAATATTCGTTGGAGACTTCTACTCATCCAGCCTTGCGAGCGACGATGATCTGGCCGATCGCTGTCGCGCCGGAGTTCATCGAAGCGCTCAAATCGAGGACACATCCTGGAACTAGGGCCATCTTCAAGCATTATTGTCAACTCATGGAGTATGCAAGTACTGACTTCTGGTTCTACACAGGATGGAGGGGGATTTCGCAACACCTGTGATGTGTTGTACATGGTAGTCTCCCATGTCGTCTCCGCAACAATGGAACAAAAGCATCGATGAGTTAGTCTAACAAACTCCTTTTGGATGTCCAAGACTCTGACATCGACAGGTTTGCAGACTCAATATGAGATGTGAAAGTACTCATATCACTATCCGCATTCCACTTGCGACTCAGCGTATGTCTACTGCTTTTCACTGCAGCGTCTCATTGCCACAATGTCAGCTGGGTCAATCTCTGGAAGCGCACAGTGGCTTCCACTCTAGTAATTTGCAGTAGTGAATCAACATCACGAACGCATCGTGTGCATATAAGCTCCCTGGTGTTGTACCTTCCAACACTCACATCCGGACACGACCACCCCCTACTTCTTCGCTCAACCAACCTGCGCTCTCCGAATACATCTACCCTACTACCAAAGTACAAGTCATTGCGCCTAAATTCGATATGTCAGGCGCATCCTTCTTCAAAGCTCTGGGCCTTGCCCCAACGGCATCGGAAACTTCGGTTCGGTCGAGGTTCAAGATTTTAGCTCTAGCTTATCATCCCGACAAGACAAATGCAGTCAACAAAGCAGTAGCTACTTCCCGTTTTGTGGAAATACGACAAGCTTATGAATATTGCATGTCTCACCTCAGCCCGGAAGAAGAAGTGGAAGAAGACTACGAAGATGAGGATGATGATTCGGACTGGCGAGGCAAGCTTCCTGCCGGGATATTCGATGCGAACAGCGCATGGTGGGAAGGAATACAGGGCGATGAGCCCATGGTTATCTTGAAATGGGCCGAGGCTTGTGAAAACGCCCATCGCTTCGCTGCCGTGAAGCTCGATGAGGTGGAGCAACGTAAGCTCAATGTCAGCTATCTCAAGGCCTACGAAAACTTCGAGTACTGGCGCCGTAAGCATATTGAACGATACGATGAAGAGGACCGCATACAACAGGATATCAATGCTCTTCCCGAGCGTCTTCAGGTCCACGTCCGCCGCTCTCTCGAAGCTAAACGGGCTGAGCAGGACTATTGCTATGAACAATACCAGGAAGATCATGACGAGGAACAATACTTTTGGGAACAAGAGGCCTTGGAAGATCCCGATTCCATACCTATGCCGACCGACACGTGGCGCTACCGTCACAATGCGGTGGAAAATAGCGCCACCCCCAAACAGCACCTCACAAATTTCAGAACACAGTGTGCGGCGGTCGAGAAGCGCAACATAGAATGGAAGGAACAGGGCATTGAGTACTATCCTCAAGCGGAGATGGATCGCCGTACCAGGAGGCGCAAAGCCACGGAAGCTAGGCTTCTCGAGGATGTTGCGCGCGCTGAGAAGCAGGCTCGCGAACTCAAATTGATCTCATCGATCAACTCCGCGAAGCGTGTTGGCCGCCTTGCCAAAGCAACCGCTACCGAGCTGATAGACGATGTCATACCTCAGTGCCTGGAAGATAGTCCCAAAGACGATGCTGTACCTCACAGTCTGGAAGACGGTGTTGAGGATGAGGCCGCATGATTCACTCTTTACTTAAACTATCAGCTATCGGATGTTGGGCATGATGGCAGTGATCTCTCTTGAATTTTGCTCTAGCCCTCATGGCTAGCCTTGCGTGCTCCAGACGGTAGGGTGGTAGACCTCATCAGAAAGCATCCATCAAGTCTTGCTGCGTTACTTCAAGTTTGTCTTTCTGCCTTCTATTGCGATAAGTTTTACACGCGCTTTCTACTGTTCTATCAAGTCCAATCAGATCTCCTTTGTAACACAATTTGCCCTAACACCGTCTATGCTGGAGTTACTCCCCACGCTGCTGGCCTCATGTCAAACTCCGAGACCTCCGAAACAATCTCCGCCGCCTTCGATCCATAACACTGCCCCACAACCCATAGCGAAGTATCGATACCCGAGCTGACTCCGCCAGCGGTCACAATGCGCACACCCGCCTCAGTAGTACCCGCATCCGACCATCGTTGCCTCACAACGTTGATCTTCGAATCACCGCCCGCAGCTTCGTCGGCGAGCGTCTTCTGCAGGTCGAGCGACAAATGATGTGTTGTGACGGTACGGCCTGCAAGTACTCCAGAAGCCGCCAGGATGAGGCCTCCAGTGCAGACTGATTGCAGGAATCTCTTGCCCGTCTCTTTCCTTGGCTCCGTGTTTGAGAATCGTCGGATGAGCTCAGCCAACTCTTTGCCCTCTTTGCTGCTGATGAGTTGTTTGATGGTTTCGTCGTGCGCGCCGGGGATGACCAAGATGTCGTATTCTTCAATGCGGCTGGACATTTCGGCGAAAGTGGCGTTCGGCAAATAGACCATGGCTTTGGAGATGGACGTGACGGGGCTCTGATGGGCGAAAGTGGTTACTGAGAAAGGAGCTGGTTTACTCATGTCCATTTCCATGTCGTGGTAGTGGCAGTATATCTCGGCTGGACCCGAGAAATCCAGGAGGTCGCCATCTGGGTAAATGTAAATTGCGACTTTGAATTGAGACATTGTTGCGTTTGGTAGTGAGTGAGTATCTGGCTTCATGAGTTTATATGGTCTTGCTTTTCCCTTTTATAACCACCGGCTCATCTCTAGTGTTGTTGTGTGACTGATGCCTCGTAGCACGCCTTGCCCGGATCGGATGTAAGTTTGTGTCCGGCTTCCGCGATCGTCAAAGAGTCCGCTCCGTATGTTGTACCACGACCACGAGCAAGTATGCACTGATTACTGTAGCCTAATATCATCGTGCGATGTATGGTTGGTTTATTTTTGCAGAGCCGGAGACCAGATCCTCGTCATTCGTGCACGTGTCAACATCGGGTGCTGCTGATGTCTGCTACACAAGCACAGTAAATGCGCATGACGACGTCGCATGGTAATCGCGCTCGAACACGATTGTGTCGAACTGAAGATGCCTATATCAATACAGCGCCCATTGAGAGACTGTGTAATCGATCGAAATGAACGCGGTTGAAATATTCGGAGATTGCTGCGGCATATGTCCCAAACCTAGCACCGAATTCTGCATGCACTGCCTCAACATGCCCTACTGTTCCTCTGCATGCCGTGTTGCAGACGCGGAGAAGCACGCACCGCTATGCAGTACTTTGCAATACTTCGGACAGAGCGCTCGCCCGTCCTGGTTACATTCTCGTTGTATTTTCTTCCCAGTTGACTACTCACAGCCACGTTTTGTTTGGCTGAAGTATTATGGATTACCTTGCCAGCGGCACATCGACCGCGAAGACCTAAGATTGTTCGTGAACGGTGTACCTTCCGGTGGGGACGCAACTTTTGACTGCTTCCGCGAAGGTAACAGGCAACTACGTGATCGGATCACTGTTCGGCATGACAGTAACGCTCTTGGTAACAAGCAACCCTACAACCAATGTGTAATGGCATTACTTGGTCAGGTGGCTGGTGAATATTGGAGAGGACCACTGTTGGCTCAGTCTTACAGGTATCGCGTTGTTGACGACCTGCATCGATGGCCTACGGGGGATCGAACCGAGGCGAGTGAAGTTTTGATCCCCGTAGATCTCGATACTACTTCCCTGGCGCCGATTCTCTCATTCATGAAATGGAGGGCGACGTCGACGGATGACTATAACTTGACTATCGCTGCGGAGGACGCGACGCTTAGAGCGACTATCGTAGGGAACCTTTCTCCAAAGAAAGCTTCACCGAAGAAGTCCTCACCAAAGAAGAAGAAGAAGTGAAATCCAGTCGACGGTATATCGGTCGAGGCGGAGGATGAGATCGAGGGCGTTATTAGCTGCAGGAATACGCCTGCCGGCGGTTGGGCGGGGACCTGAACTAGCCGTCGGTCAGGAAGAGAGTGTATTACTGTACCTGGCATGGACATGATAAGCGTTTCTATTGATGGTTTTGCGCAGTAAACGTTGCCTACAGTGTGGGGCCTGACGATGTGAAGGTCATCCTGATATTTCGCACGTAAGCTGACACTAATACTCTCAAATGTGATCGTCCTGCCTGTGATCTAAGATAGGCAATGTCTGCAATGTACGAGGCGACAAAGGTCAAAGATTTCTCGCGGAAGATGAGTGGCGAACCATTTATGTCGCTGTGACGAGGCTTGTAAATTGATAAGTGTGCCTACCTCGAAGATGTAACATCTTGGCTTAACACATATAGCGGAGCCTGCAAGCCAGTTGCATATCGAAGCAGCTTATCTAGGCGCTAGAAGTTGTTTTAGATGATCCACACCCATTGTTATGGGTCGATAAGCCGTGGGTGTCGTTGCAGTGAGCGCTCGCGTACCTAGAATTGCCTGGTCGATCCGCAAATGCATGCAGATGGGACTTTCATGGCCCACCATCCAGGCAGACGGAACCCTTATGATTATAGTTTTTCGAGAATAAGTAAGCGATCCATTGGTAAGAAGGTGCCTATGATCAGCATTGAATTCATAGAGACGAAGTGATGCCGTGTCATCTCCGATTGATCTTACCTGCCTCGTGTCTCAGTGGTGCGCATGCTGACACGATAACGAGCTTGGAAGTCTTCATCCTTCCCATATCCGAGTATTCTTGAGCCGACACTTGCCCTATGGCCTTATCATGTTCCTCATCTTAGCATACGCGGTGGCAGCAAGCGCCCAGACGCGCTGCGCCGCTGGCCAAGCTTCGATGCACACGCGACGAAAGCACCAAGGCTTCGCACTCCTCCACACAAACGTGGATGATGATTCCCCACAGTGTTCTGTTATCCGTGTCTGGTCCAATAGCATGTCATGTCTCGAGTGGAGTGGTGTAGCCATGGCTTGGCAAAACGCTGCCGGTCAACCGACCCCTGTTCGGCCAAGACAGGACGAGACGGAACTCGGAACGCAACTTTGCTTGTAACCTTCCATTTCGTTCGATAGTCACCAGCGCCGCCAACAGTTCCAAGGGTCGAGTTCCAATGCCTGGGGAGATAGTCTGCGCTACTGTCGGGCTTTCCGTCGCGACCTAGACTCAGACATGGCGAATCGATGCCCGCGGATCCAAGTGGCTTGTCCTTGTGATAGGCCGTGGAGACTGGGGTCGGGCGTTGTCTGAAAGTACGGTAGCATCCCGAAGTATTGGTAACAGAATCGTTATCTCTTGGTTGCCACACAAGTGATTTGCAGATACCAAGGGGCGGGGTTCGTGTATAAGATGTCCTGGCTGTGCGTGACCGACTAAACTGCGTGCTCGACTGCTGTTCCACCACTCTCTCGGAATCCGAAGAAGTCTTTATTCTTTCCGCCTGCCCAGAATCTGCCAATCATGGGCGAAGCCGAAGTAAAGCACGGCGAGGCTGCTGTTCGCACCACCTCGAGCCCGAACAGCACACCGTCAGAAGACATCATGCCACGGCCGACCGTTGCTGAAGAAGAGAAGAAGACGTTTGTGCAGAGAGTAATGACGCCAGGATCAGTATGGCAGATCATCATCGCCGCTCTTCTAGCCATTGCTATTGGTCTGGCAGTTACCACCACGGTAGACGAAGTGCCAGACGCAGCCATCACGATACTTGCCATCCCAGGTAACCTTTGGTTGCGCGCATTGAGGGCAGTCGGTATGTTGCGATGGAACCTCTCTAGATGCGTGAGCTGATTATCGCAGTCCTTCCAATGATCGTCACCGCCATGATCCTGGCAATCCAACGTCTGCGCAACATGACACAGGGAGGAGGTGCAGCGGGTAAACTCGCTCGCTGGACAATTGGCTACTACGTCATCACCACCATCCTCGCTGTCGCACACTCTGCCCTACTGGTCGGCCTGGTCTGGAGTAAACTCATGAACCCAGTCTCAGGAAGTGCTCTGGATCTGGACGACGAGAACAAAGAGCTTGTGGACGAAAGGAAAGAAACTGCCATCCACGATGTCGTCGAAGACATGTTCTTCTCGTTGGTTCCCAACAACATCGTCAACGCCCTGGCGACCGATGCCCTCCTTTCGGTACTTGTCACGGCCGTCGTCCTTGGATATGTCATCAAGCCAGGAGGTGCGATTCATCGAGCTGTCGAAGAAGTCGAAGTTATCGTCCTCAAGGTCATCACAGTTTTGATCCACCTTGCGCCTATTGGAGTGTTCTTCTTGATCATGCCGAATCTGTTCCGTCTCGATATTGCTGAGATTGGGACGAACCTGGGTATTTTGATTGGTGGCACCTTGGTCGGCATGTTCATCCACCTTTTCATTGTAATTCCCATCATTTTCTTCGCGATCACCAGATCCAACCCGTACACGTTCTGGATGAAGATGAGTCCAGCATGGATTACCGCTTGGGGAACCGCCTCCAGCGCTGCGACCTTGCCCGTTACCATTCGCTGTGTTTTGAAGCAGGGTATTCCCATCACAGGTCAGTCTCCATGATTATAAGTAGTCGATCGCGATCACTGACACACAGTTAGTAACCAAGTTTGCCGTACCTCTCGGTTGTTTGATCAACATGGATGGTACTGCGATCTACTTCCCGATCGTCGTCGTATTTTTGGCCGCCACTCAAGGCATCACCCTGAACGGTGCCGATTACATCATTGTCATTCTACTCTCGACTCTCGCTTCGATCGGAACCACACCTATTCCAAGTTCGAGTTTGGTCCTGGTAGTCATGATTGCTTCCAGTGTCAACATCCCAATCACCGGAATGTACGCCGTCGTCATCGCTATTGACTGGTTCCTCGACCGCTTCCGAACTGCAATGAACGTCAGTTGCGATACTTTCGCAGCCAAGGTTGTCACGCACATAACGGGGATCAAAGACGAAGATGGCCAGTCGTACGATGAGGCCGAGAATGTCGACCCGAACTCGCTCGGACGAACAGATGAGTCCAAGGTTTAGATGCTGTCTCCCCAGTTTCATATAGCGGTCTTGACATCTCCAAATTCTTCCGAGCTCAATCCTAAGTAATGCAATCCTCTTTCGCTCATAAACAGCGTTCCTTCTCTTTGTGATCGTGAATCAAGGTACTCATTTCACGCGATCTGACGGCGTTTCATAAAGCCATCGCATCGACCAGCCATGCCGGCATGCCGCATGACAAGCGGACCTCGGATTGCGCGACTTGGACGATCGGGTTAACGACACAATGAAAAGAATATGCGAAACCGAAGAGGGGGTGGTGGAAGAGATAAGTAGTGTTGCAGAGCGTTTGTCGCATATGCCCTCGCTCCTGATATTCGCGCGCACGAAGTCTGGAAATGTGGCCGGTCCGGAAAATTAGCCGGCTCAGAACGGAGAGCTGGCTCGGAAACGTAGTCAGTCCGGAGAAATAGCCTAAACACTCCCCCTGTGGATCTGACAGTTGTTCAGGACCGCGCAGTGCTGTAGAAAGACAGCATTCGTGGGTGTTCTCGTGATGACACAGTCGAACGCTTCGTCATGGCGGTCGAGAGGAAGCTTCGCTCCACTTCGCGCCGCATCGCGGGTCTTGGCGCGTCGGCTACTTTCCCACCCAGCCATCGTCGCGTCATGAACACGAGGCACGATTGAGATGTGCCTGCAACTGAAACGAACGCGTTCTAGTCGCGACTCTTACACGGAGTGGTTCTATTGAGTGTTGAAGAGATAAGTGGCATGGAGGGACGGTCCGTGTCGTCGCGTATGAAGACGTTCTGGTCCAGCACCGTTTAAGGTACGCGTTCTGACCCCGTCAGTCTTTACTTCCTCACACCAGGTGTTGCTTCATCTTTTCTTCTCGTCCTAGCGTTTTCATACAGCTCAACGCCACGCGATAGTCAACTTTTCCCCTGTAGGCTGTCACACGACGTGGAAAGTCGCGTTGTCGCCCGCGTTGTGTGGTACCGGCGACCCTCGTTGAGGCACAACCCGTTTGCTTGCAGTCCTGTCGCAACTCATACGAACCATATTCGGAGCAATGCACTTAAAAACACGCGGTGTACATATGAGGGCTTTCACCACAGCCTCGCGCCTCGCGACTGCGAGCATCTTCGCCCTTGCGGACCGTTCGCGCATCAGCCATGATGGCTAAAGAAAATGATGCGTAGCTGAGAGCGCCCGTGGCAAACAGGACGCACCAAATTTCACACTTGGACCGTAGCGCTATCCGCAACCAAGAGACCTTGAGAGCCCGATCAACGGCATGGCAAGAGTGCCTCCGCGTTCAAAGAGTACTAAAGCGAGACTGATAACTAATCCGCATGCCAGCCACAATCTACTTCGGCACGTGGCCTGGAGCTCCAAGAGATGCAAATTGCTGTGAGCAATGGCTACAGGCCCGTTCTTCCACGTACTCAGTTTGCCATACTTCTTTGTAGGTCTCCCCGGATACCAATGTTCTGGAAGATCTGGTTCATGTGCGGAAGCTCTAATTAGTCCATTTGCACCAATCAGCAGCCAGATCGGATGCTTGGCCATTGCGATCACAATATATCGCGGGGAAGACTAATGCGGAGTGCAAGATGATCTCGTGAGATGGCTCTCCGTGTCTAGAGTGGTATAGCGTCAGAATGCTCAGAAACCGAAACGGTACATATCTTTGCAATACGCGTAGAAAATGAGGAAACACACTCAAGCAGAAAGACTAACCAAGATGTTCTACGGCCTTGCTTCGCTTTTACTGCTGGCTACTAGTACTTCAGCTGCAGTAGTCAGCAGGAAAGCACCCGCTGGCTTTGTCACAACCAAAGGCAACGCCTTCAAATTAGACGGAAGAGATTTCTACTTCGCAGGTAGCAATGCCTATTACTTTCCGTTCAACGACGTCAGTATATTTCACTTCACTCTTGCCACACTTACTGAAACTCCACAGCTCCAATCCGATGTAGAGGCTGGCCTGGGTGCCGCGAAGAAGGCTGGACTCAACGTCTTCAGGACATGGGGCTTCAACGATCGCAACAGGACGACTCTCGCAAACGGACTACCACAGTACGGTGGCGAAGGTGCTGGTCCCAGTCCGAACGTCCTGCAATGGTGGAGCAACGGCACACAGGAGATCAACCTAGTATCGTTCGACAAAGTCGTGAAGGCTGCGGAGAAGACTGGCATGAAGCTCATCGTTGCTTTGACGAACAACTGGGCCGACTATGGTGGCATGGATGTCTACACGACCAATCTCGGCTACAAGTACCATGACGATGTAAGTCACACAGTCTTTGCCTACATGATCATAGACTAACATAGCCTTTGTTAGTTCTATCATGTCCCAGCCATCAAGAAAGCGTACAAGAAGTATGTCAAGGAGATTGTCAAACGCTACGCCAAGTCTTCGGCCATCATGGCGTGGGAGTTGGCGAACGAGCCACGATGCGGTGCTGATGGTGTGCGAAACTTGCCGCGCAGCGAGAACTGCACTCCTGACATGATCACCGAGTGGATCGATGAGATGAGCACATATGTCAAGTCGCTTGACAAGGACCATCTTGTTACATGGGGTGGTGAAGGAGGCTTTAACAGGCCTAGTGACGATGGCTTCTATAATGGATACGATGGTGGCGACTACGACAAGGAGTTGGCGCTCAAGAACATCGACTTCGGTACCTTCCATACATATCCCGATTGTACGTATAACTCCTTCGACAGGCATCAACACTATCATTCTTTGAGCTACACTGACTAGACTTGCAATAGGGTGGTCCAAGAGCGTCGAATGGGCAAACCAATGGATCATCGATCACGCCGAAGCCTCCCGTGCCGTTAGAAAGCCAGTCGTACACGAAGAGTATGGATGGCTGACCGACGACAAGAGGCAAGAATACCTCAGCAAGACCTCGAACGTCACCAGACTTGAAGCCATCGGACTATGGCAGGCCACTAGCCTGAAGGAGAAGATGCCGGATATGTACTGGCAATTTGGCTACTCTGGCTACTCCTATGGAAGCAATCACGACGACGGATTCACCATATTTCTGGAAGACGCGGAGGCCAAACAGCTTGTTTACGAGCATGCGAAGAAGGTCAATGCTTTGAACAAGAAGTGAGATGTTGCGCTGTCTGGTTTGTGTCGCGCCTGTCTCACAGCAAACACTTCGTGCTGTATACACTAGAGCTCTATCTTCCTCCAAAAGGCATGTGTTTGCCTGGTAATGCGTCAGAACTGAGTGGTGTCTTTATGCACATTGGTTCGGTTTGCGGAGTGTTCCCACAATGTATATAGTCAAATTCTTTCACTGTCTCCCCACGCCACCCGTTATTTCGTTCGACATCGTGCACTAAAAAGGGTGCAGCAACGTACTTCATTATCTCGAACTACACCAACGTGTTTCTTCGATCCTGCCAAGACGAATAGGTTGCACTCCTCTTCCGTCCGACTATACCACACTAGCTTCCACTACTACAGCCGCCTGAATCTACACCATCCTAGGCCTATTATATTAGGCCTATCATCTTACGCCTATTCTCAGACCATCTCACACACAACCTCAAGTCAGCCACCCGATCCTGTCGACGATGTGCGGCTTCACATGCATTACATACAGCGAGTGCGCCCACACCGCGCTCTCAACGAAGCCCGAGCACACCTCTCTTTGCTTTAACGCGAAAGAAATACATTTGGTCCAAGGCGTCGACTGTGCACCTGCGAACTGTGTCCCGACTGACGACACAGAAACCCCGATTGCCGCCGAGAATACTTTCTTTGATTACTGCGATGACTGCCGAGCCGAAGCACGCGCTGCCAAACCGATTGAGCGCGGTGAGATGGATGACATAGTGCAAGTTCATGCGCACCCAAGTGAAGAAGATCAAGGCTCGTACGACGAAGACGAGACTGAGCAACTGCAGGATTTAGCCACCTACCTAGATGCAAAGCATGCTGCTGGCCTGGAGGTTGTCCAACAACTCAAAGCTCTACCATCAAATCCGCTTGCGCTCTCGTACATCACAGACCCCGAGCTTCGCGCCTTTCTGTGCGCACCAGACGTGGAAAAACACTTCACTACTTTCAAGTACTGCTCAGAACTCTTTCCAGTCATGGGCAGTTACATCCAACAGCGCGCTCCAAACAAGGTGTTCGTAGAGACATTCGTGTACCTGCGCGACAAGGCGAAGAAAGCAACGACGTTACTAGAGTGTTTCCAAATCGTTCTCGAGTGCCTGCTAAGCTACGAGCCGTCCCGACCAGAAGAACACTTCAACGGTAGCGAAGCCGGATTGGAGTTCTTTGGCGATATGCTCAAGTGTATGATTACCGATAGGCATCTTGAAGTCCCTCCGATCGCTTTCCATTTCCACGAGAACAACTTTACTATTCCCGAAGCCACTATTCAGCAGCTTGAAGAGGATCAAGACGTGCCGCAAGCTTTTCCGGAGAAACAGGAGGAAGGCTCTAAGAGGCAGTCATCCCGGAAGGAGCTTGGTGTTCTGAACACACGTCATCTGGCGTTCGATCCGGAGTCACTGAAGGGTCTACTGGACGACGAACCGTCCCGTAACTTCGAGGCTGTACATGTCGCATTTCCAGAAGATGAGAACGCTATGGGTATAGACGTGGAAGATGAGCAGGGTAACGAGCTCGTTTGGAGAGACGGGAAGTCGCACATCATCTTCGCTGTTACCAAAGCTGAAGACAAGACTGCTGTCAAGGAGACGAATGAGCAACCAGCAAAGCCTTCAGATGAGCTTCAGCCTGCGCCAACGAAGACGACATATCAACCAACAGGTGGCTTTGGTTTCGATTACTCAGATGATGAAGACGACACACTCTTGAACGATGAAGTGGCCAGAACTAAAGTTATTGAGGACAAGAACAACGACACGTCCTCAGACCCATCGCCATACCTATGCATACCCTCCTCTCCACCCGTATCCGCCGCAGAGTGTTCATTCCAGTCTCATTCATCTAGTGCGTCTTCTCCATCCTCACCGTCCCTTCCAGCTCTTCCGGACAAATCCGAGAATGAAGATGCGGAAACAAGTCAACCCAAAAGTGGTTCCTCCTCACCATCGTCTCGTAAGCGCAAGTCGTTATCAAGCGAGGCAAGCGAACACACCAAAGGCTTCAGCAGTGACCAGGAAGATGATGAACAATACCCTGACCCTCCCATGAAGCGAAACTGTAGGAACAGTCTATCATCCGACTCTTCCTCCTCTCGGTCTGCAACGCCAATAGAGAAGTTGCGCAATTCCCCATCAGCACCAGCCTCACCTTTAGCGGACCTACCTCCTCTACCATCTTCGCCTACATCTCCAGATAGTTCGTCGTTGTCTTCTGTATCGTCTTATGTGGACTCGGCATCATCGTCTCAGTCGCCTCCTGCACCCCTTCCGCCGCAGCCAACGACGCCACAGCACCGCATGCAGACGCGTGCTATGACACGCAGTGCAAGTACCACACCGGCGCCTCCGGATGCGGCATCTACGAGAGCAACGCGTTCATCGGGGAAGTGATGGGAAGAACAGTTTCAGCGTATGAGACTGAGGGGGCTGATGAGGTGGATGAGACTGGGAGAGAAGAGGGGAACGAGAGAGAACAAGGCCAGATCTCAGGAAACTGCACGAGAGATATTCGAGCGGCTTGAGGTCTCGTGGATCAGTGTTGTTGTATAGGCTTTTGCGCGTCGCGTTCCGTCGACAGTTATCGTGTGTTTTGTTACGACTAGTTTAACGACTATTCCATTCCTTTGGTCAGCCAGAGGTTCCAAGTATGTAGTCGCGGAAGTTTTGACAAAATTAACGAATTCGTATTCAAGAAGAACAGAAAGCTTTTGTGGGTATCAAACGACCTACTACGCCCCAACTAAAGCATGCGCATGTATTAGGTATGGTGTCGTATACTCTAGAATGACAAACGTACGCAAGCGCGGAGAACCTCGATAAACGTTGCAAACGTAGTTCATTCAGAGTCGTCACCTCCGCTGTCACCGCTCTTGTCATCCTCCTCGTCTTCCGATTCGCCCTGGACATCGTCGTCGTCATCGTCATCGTCGTCGTCGTTGTCATCGCCGCCACCCCCTTCTTCGCTATCGTCTTCCAGTACGACCTTCTGCTGTGGTACAGGTTTTGCTGCTGCCCTTCGGCTTGGCCGACCCGTAGCTGTGACTTCACTGGCCTTTCCCCACGCCGCTTCACCCTCTTTGATTGCCTCGAGGTCTTTCGCAAACTCCCTCTGCTCCTTGATCTTGGCTGCCTTCTCAACCGAGTATTTGCCATCCATGCCCACATCCTTCAGCCAGCCCTTGAGCACGCGGATCTTGTCCTTCGATGTGTTGCACTGGGAGAGCTCGGGGTCGCGGGACCAGACTTTTCGGATGCCGCACTTCACGAGCCAGCCTTGGAGTCGCTTGACTTCTGCGGTGTCGGGATCATCCTCGGTCTTCGCTTTGGGCGCGGCTTTCGGTTTCGCTGGGGCCTTTTCTTTCTTGCCGTTCGCTGCAGGGGCTTTCTTCTTCTTCTTGGGCTCTTCGTCTATGACGCTGGACAGATCACTGTCAGATACGTCGCCTTTTGTGTTTGCCTTCTTCGCTGGCTCGGGTTCGACGTCGCTCTCATCGTCGACCGCGGCGCTGGGTCTGGACGTCGGCTTCGGCGAATCCTCCTCGTCCGAGTCTTCTGCCACAGTCTTCTTCCCCCGCCGGACTAATTTCTTGGGTGGCTCACTCTCTGCGTCGGATATTTCGGCGGGTGGTTCTGAGAGCTCAGCTTCAGATTCTTCGGACTCAGTCTTCGCGCGTTTCTTGGGTTTCTTGGCAGGTGCCGCAGCCTTGCGCTTGACGCCGCGGGCATTGTCGGTGGCAGCTTTGGTCTTCTTTTCGGCAGGCTTCGCTTTGGGTTTGGGGGCGGCTTTTTTGGGAGTAGGCTGTGGTGTGGGCTCATCGGAGCAGAACTTCTCCTACATATTATTAGTACGTAGTCAGAAATTGGAAGTCGGGCTTCATACCACTGCGTCTACAATGACTTTCTGCGATTTCTCTTTCCATGTCGAGTCTGTCTTGAAGAAGCCCTCGTCTAGGGCTAGTTCTTTCTCTGCGCGCGCCCGAACGCGCTTCACAGTCAGATCATCGCTTTTTCCAGACTTGTGGATCGCGATGACAATGTCGCGCAGTTTGTTCGAAATGGTCGCTTCAGAGGGCCGGTCTGCTTCGGAATCCGACATGATGCGCAGCGCGTTCGTAGATGGTGTTGATGATCGACGGCCGTACGCGATAGACGCGGCGGTTAGGGCAGGCACGCCGCCGGTAGCGTACACGTGACTCCGCGGAGAGACCCAATGGCGTCAAGTGGCATCAGGGCCTGCGGGGGATTTGTCGTGTCGAGCCACGGCGATGTATCAGTTGAATCCCATTCCTTCGTGCTGATTGCATGAATCGCATGGTATTGCCAGTGCAGATGCCCATAGCTGATGCTGGGCGCCGCCCTTTGACGTCGAGTTGGTCTGTGAGCGCCCCGCGTCCGCTGGGTTGGGCAGCTCCACGACCGACGTCACATTTATTCCCAAGTTTCACACAGACACCGCCAGCTTCATTCAGTGTTTTCCAACGCGGCCTACACCTGTCAGCGACCGAGCTGCATGCCGCCAGTCCCGACCGCCCCTAGCACCAGTCATCTTCAACTTTAGCATCTGCCCGGGTTGTAACTGCGCCCTGCCGTCTGCCAACTCTGGCCGCTTGAGCTCGGAACCTGCGAGAAGCCGCCTCCACCTTCGAGCGGGCCTTGATCTATTATCATTCTTTCGTCACGCCAGCACCACAATTAAAATAACTGATCCCTCCCCCCTCGCGCCAAAGGAAACCTACCCACACCGCCTGCTCACCGGCCCCAGCCACGTTGCGGAGGTGAATGCTGACCTCGCCCAACACCCTACGCCGCAGATAAATTTCCTGTCAGGAGTGTCGCGACTCAACCACCTTACAACCCCCACTATCCAACACATCCACCGCCAAGATGTCTAACGCGCCTACAACCCTCAAGCAGCCCGAGTCGTCGGAGGGACGTCTGCTGCTCGTGTCGAATCGACTGCCCATCACCATCAAGCGCTCCGATGAGGGCAAGTACGACATGTCCATGTCCTCGGGAGGACTGGTCAGCGGTTTGAGCGGACTCTCCAAGACCACCACCTTCCAGTGGTATGGCTGGCCCGGACTTGAAGTCCCCGAGGACGAGACAAAGACCTTGAACGACCAGCTCAAGGAGAAGTACAACGCGGTACCTGTCATGCTCGACGATGAGCTCGCAGACAGGCATTACAACGGATTCTCAAGTGAGATTACCTATGTAGAACCATATCGCTGCCAGCACTAACAATTGTAGACGAGATCATGTGGCCGCTCTTCCACTACCACCCCGGTGAGATTACCTTCGACGAGTCCGCTTGGGACGCCTACACCGAGGCCAACCGCCTGTTCGCAAAGGCCGTCGCAAAGGACGTACAAGACAACGACATGGTCTGGGTGCACGACTACCACCTGATGCTCATGCCCGCCATGTTGCGCGAAGAGCTCGGCAACACCAAGAAGAATGTCAAGATTGGCTTCTTCCTGCACACACCTTTCCCCAGTTCCGAGATCTACCGAATCCTCCCCGTCCGCAATGAGATCCTGCTCGGCGTTCTCCACTGCGACCTCATTGGCTTCCACACATATGACTATGCTCGTCATTTCCTGAGCAGTTGCTCGCGCATTCTGTAGGTGTCAACCTAAGGGCAGACTTCGCACTTACTAACTCGGACCAGGGGACTTGCCACAACACCAAACGGAGTCGAGTTCAAGGGCAAGGTCGTTACCGTCGGCGCTTTCCCCATCGGTATCGATCCCGAGAAGTTCGACGAGGGTCTCCAGAAGCCCAAGGTACAAGAGCGGATAGCAGCCCTCGAGAAGAAGTTCCAGGGTGTGAAGCTCATCGTTGGTGTTGATCGCCTCGACTACATCAAGGGTGTACCACAGAAGCTGCACGCTCTTGAGGTGTTCCTCACAGAGCATCCCGAATGGATTGGCAAGGTCGTTCTTGTACAAGTCGCCGTTCCTTCTCGGCAAGACGTCGAGGAGTACCAGAACCTCCGCGCAGTCGTCAATGAGCTTGTTGGTCGCATCAACGGCAAGTTCGGCACTATCGAGTTCATGCCCATCCACTTCATGCACAAGTCGGTCTCTTTCGACGAGCTTATTGCGCTCTATGCTGTCTCAGATGTCTGTCTCGTGTCTTCGACACGCGACGGTATGAACCTGGTGTCTTACGAGTACATCGCGACACAGGAGAAGCGACACGGTGTCATGATCTTGTCCGAGTTCACTGGTGCTGCACAGAGCTTGAACGGCAGTCTTATCGTCAACCCATGGAACACCGAGGAGTTGGCGGATGCTATCCATGACGCAGTCACCATGGGCGATGAGCAACGCAGTCTAAACTACCAGAAGCTGTCCAAATACGTCCGGAAATACACTAGGTAAGTACCCACGATCACATCTCGACCGACACGTTCTGACTTCACATAGCGCATGGTGGGGCGAGTCGTTTGTCACAGAACTTAGAAGGATCTCGGAGACACCAGACCGCAAAGTACACTTCGCTAACGCTCCGGTCGCGGGAGTTGATGACGCTACAAAGACTGCTGGTGAGACGAGCTCAGAGCTACCGATTCGTCAGGAAACCGGCAACAAGGACAAGGAGTCAGACCCTGCTGCTGCTGTCGATGCTCAAAAGCAGACCGCCGACGGCGCATCTAGCCAATAGGCCCTGCGCCCTGCGGTGAGCACCTCTGATTATTACGACGGATGATTTCATGTGACGAAAGTTCGGCGTGATGGATTCGCTTGGGTTAGACGATTGATGAAGGTTCCAATTCTCACAGTACCCCCTCAATTACTAGATCTTCTTACCTAGAAGCTGTAGTGGAAACATCACTGCAGCAACAATATACCCTTTCTATGCACGACCTTGTTCTTTGTACTCTGATCCTGAATGTTTTGTTCCGCGAGTGAGTTCGTTCCTTCGTGAAAAACGAGTATGCGAGAGCGTGGGATGTTCCTGCCTCCGAAGGCGCCTGCCAAGCCATTGGCGCGTCATCATCCGCTTTCGCAAACCTCACACCCAATTTCGCGTCTTCTGCGCCCCCAACCCCAGTCACACCGACAAGAAGACCTCCCCCGGCAAGTTCGGAAATAATTAGTAATGAGTTTAATTCTACGCGTTAATAAGAATCAGTCCCTGATGTTGCCGCACAAACACGATCATGAGAAACCACAATGGAGCGACCCACGTCTTTTATTAGGAGTCTGACTACCTGTGTATAGCACTGACATGACCAGATCCCAGCAGTCGAGGTACTCAGCACCGTCTATCTACCACTCAGTCATAGCGCCAGAAAGCTCAAACTCTGGGAGTCGAAAAACGCGTACGTGTGCAACCGTTGCGTTAACTCAGAAGAAATACCAGCCACTCCTTCATAGCACCAG